TTTTTTTTACACTTTTATAGGCCCAGGTGTCATGGCTTCGCTGAGTGTATGAGATTTTTACTTGCTACATTGAGTAAAATTTATTTCATAACCATTTCGACTGATACTCATATTGATATAAATCATTTAGATTATTGAATAGTTTGAATTTAACCTTTTAAATAGTTGGCAACCTTTTAAAACCCGTTTCGTCTGACACTCATATTGTGATACATATTCAAAACCATATCGATTCATACCAATCTATACTAATATATATCTTTAAAGCGGTTTTTTTTTAGTTCGCAAAGCTCGAGAACGGCCGAACCGATTTATTTTTTTTTTTAATTTCGAGCATTTCAGATGTCCCAAGGATTATTATAGGCTAAAGAAATGTTTGGCATATAAAGGGGGCGTGGCACCTCCCATACAAACCGAATATTTCATACCGAATATCTCTGGAAATGTTCATAGTAGAGTACTGGGACTTCGTGTGGAGATATATGAAATTAATCTTATACTCATGGAGAAAAATGGGCTATTTAAAAAGAGGGCGGGGCGCCGTACAAACGTATATAAAATTCATCTGTAGGTATGTTTGTGAGTGAAATTCTCCTAAATGCTCGCATGGATTTTTTTGTGTTTTTGAATAACACTCTGGATAGTGTAGTTTCACAAATTCACCCGCCAATACTTAAACTGCTTTCGTGAAACTTACTTTTGAGGTATTTCTGAAATAAGTCTGTGTACATATATTGGAATTCTGTAGAACAATTATACGAATCCATTTTGTAATTGCCACCAACTATACTCTAAAGTTTCTGGGACAGATTCACTATAGAATCGGATCATTGTTGCCGCCAGGGAGTGAAGAGGAAATGTTCTTCACATTTATTTCGTTGTGAGATTAACCTTTCTATGAAATGCTGCGCAATTAGAGAATTTAAAGAACTTCTTCACGGCCATAACGCTTTCGTTAGGTTATTTAAGGCAGCAAACGACCACTAAACCATAATCTTAGCCGGTGAGCGTGCCAATGGAAATCGTAAACGTGAATTATTGGTGAAAATGTTGGACCAAAAGTTCCAATAAAAAAATAATAAATTTGGGCGGAACGAAGTTCGCCGGGTCTGCTCGTGTTTGAATTTTTAAAAAGGTGGCAACCCTTGTGAAAAACTTCAGTATTATTCAAAACTTTAAAACTAAAGGTTTCTTAACAATATTTCGTTTGACAGCCTTATTTTAACTCTTCAGATAGCTTGCATATAATTAATTTAAATTTGACTTTGCAAACAGGTGGCAACCCTTAAAACGACATATTCAAGCTACATAATTTTTAAGCCTCTTGGCATCCATTTTTATACCCGAGCGCACTTGTGCACAGGGTATATTAATTTTGTTCACATAACGGTTGTTTGTAACACCCAAAATGAATCGAGATAGATATAGACAAATGTATACATACATAAATGCTCAGAATGAATAGAGAAATCGAGTAAGCCATGTCTGTCTGTCCGTCCGTCTGTCTGTCTGTCCGTCTGTCCGTCTTAACGAAATTTGGTATGTAGGCTTACGTTAGTCAAAGGTAGGTTGGTATTGAAAATGGGCGAAATCGGAGTGTAACCACGCCCACTTCCCATATAACGGTAATTTCCAGAAATACGAAAACTGCGATATTTTAGTAACTACTGAAGATTATTCACTCAAAATTGATATTTACAACAATTTTTAGACGAAAAATAAGAATATTAAAAATTTTTGGAAAATGGGCGTAGCCGCGCCCACTTATGGTTACATGTGTATAACTTGGTAACCGCTGCACCAATTTCTTCCAAACTTAGCACAGTTTTTGGCCTTGGAACACCATATAAAATGACCGAAAATTTTTAAAATCGGACAATAACCACGCCCACATCCCATATAACGGTAATTTAAAGAAATACAAAATCTTCGATAAATCAGTAAATATTAAAGCTAATTTACTACTAAAGATAATTCACTCCAAATTGACATTTACAATAATTTTCAGACGAAAAATAAGAATATTCTAAATTTTTTGAAAATGGGCGTAGCAACGCCCACTTATGGTTACATGTGTATATCTTGGTAACCGCTGCACCAATTTCTTCCAAACTTGGCGCAGTTGTTGGCCTTGATACAGCATACTAAATGGCCGAAAATTTAAAAAATCGGACAACAACCACGCCAACATCCCATATAACGGTAATTTTCGGAAGTACGAAAACTGCGATATTTTAGTAACTACTGAAGATTATTCACTCAAAATTGATATTTACAACAATTTTTAGACAAAAAATAAGAATATTAAAAATTTTTGGAAAATGGGCGGAGCCACGCCCACTTATGGTTACATGTGTATAACTTGGTAACCGCTGCACCATTTTCTTCCAAACTTAGCACAGTTGTTGGCCTTGGTACACCATATCAAATGGCCGAAAATTTCTAAAATCGGACAATAACCACGCCCACATCCCATATAACGGTAATTTAAAGAAATACAAAATCTTCGTTAAATCAGTAAATATTTAAGCTAATTTATGAAAAATTGATGCTTGCAACAATTCTTGACCAAGAAATACGTTTATGGAAAAATTTTGGAAAATGGGCGTGGCACCGCCCACTTATGATTACATATATTTATATCGGTAACCGTTCTACCAAATTGTACCAAGCTCGGTATTTTTATTGTGCTCGCCACATAAAAGCAAAACGTTGAAAATTATTTAAATCGGACTAAAATTACGGCCTTTTTTCATATAACGGTAAATTTCAGAAATGTTTTAAACTGCAATATTTTGAAATTTAAGGGCGCTAATTTACTCAAAATTGATACACTCCGGCTTACCATCTAGCGGCAGCTTTCGAAAAGGTGAAAAAACATATATTTAATACTTGCGCCGTGTATTTAATGTTCGGCTCCGCCCGAACTTAGACTTTCTTACTTGTTTTAATATAATTTTCAAATAAAAAACCGCCCTAATTGAAGTTGAATTTGATTTTTTTAAAAGGTGCCAGCCCTCATCCATGAGTAAATAATGATTTTATATATCTCCACACCAAGTTCCAGTAATCTACCAAAAAGATTTCCTGAGAAATGCAGTATGAAAAATTCCGTTTGTATGGGAGGTGCCACGCCCCTTTGTCTAATCGAAATTAAATGTATCCTATATTTTAAGTTGGGCTAAATGACAGGAGTGTACAAAATTTTATGATGATCGGTTGAGTACTTAAAGCGTGAAAGCGTAGCAAAAAACAAACTCACTTTCGGATTTATAATATTGGTAAGGATTTATGCATATACTTATATCGTCGTTTAAAGTACGAAATCACGTATCAACAAAATGCAAACCCGCGTATGTGAATTATGTATATTATCTTCTAGAGAGTAAAAACGCTCATTTTTCAAAATGGTTCTCTTTTTTATAAAGAAATCGCATACCTTACCAGTATATTTCAGGACGAATGGATAAGGATTGAGCCAAGAGCTTGTGTGAGAAAATCCCATTCTTGGCAGGTAATACCAGTTACGCGGTTTTGCAGAATGACGATACGCGGTTTTGTTCTTTAAACGACAATATAAACCAGACAATGATCTAAAAATACTTAACAAACTGTTAAAATCTGCTATTTCAAATATTTGAATTGATCATAAAACCTCAGGTAACGAATTATTTTTTCACCAAATTTTTCTAAAAAGATTCATTCAGAAAAATGTTTTTCTTCTAGTTAATTTTTGAATTCATTTACCTAAATCCGACAGTTTATGGTGTAGTCTCTATTTACTCGTGGATACAAATGTATGTTTTTCCACTGCGTTTTGAAATTAGTAATTTTATCAACGCTTAAGTTTTGGCTTTCATTTTGTACCGTGACCGCCCGAGAGAGAATACACCGTCAGAGCTTATCGGAGCTCAAATTACTGACCGGTATAGTTTGTGTGCTCCCGTGCACGTTGTAGAAACTAGTCGACTTACTTGCCCATTTTCCATTTACTTAATCGCCATTTGCATTAGGAATGGAACGTTTCTAAGCATTAATCGAAATAGAATAACACGAAGGTATCGAGAATAGCCTGAGATCAGCAAAGCCAAATAAGTTTTAGTCAACACTTGTACAATGAAATTACAGATTTTTACTTTTTATATATTACCAAATACAACTAAAACTTTTTGTAGCTAATAAGGTGCTAGATAAATTTGAAAAGAGCTAACAAAAAGAGCCAGGAGCTAAAGCCCAATTTTCGGAGCTAAATAGAAAAATAAAGAGCTAAATCTAGCTCCAAAAGCACCGAAATGGCAACATTGTGCAGAACAAAAGCGTGTACAAACGAAAAAATGTATCAACAATGACATTGTTAATATGTTGGAGTAGTTTTGTGCTACTCCGAAGTAATGCAGAGCTGGAGTATATGGTCCTGCCATAGAACATCGAAATGTTAATTGGACAAATTCTTTTTATGCATTGTGGTTAGTTTTGGAGTACTCCTTGATCCTTAGTGAGTAAATACATGCATGCCTGGAGTAGTCCCGATTTTTGTAGGATAGTATTAACATATTAAGTTGTATATATATATATATATATATATATATATGAATATGCATGTATGCACATTGGACTTATGAAATAACTCACGTCTCCTCCAAAATTGTGCTTTTTGAGATCTGAAAGTCTATTTAGTAAATAACCGATATATCTGTGGTCATAAACAATAACCGCATTAGTTCAAAAACCTGAATTCGAGAAAAAACGCTTTAAACATTTGGATTGTAATGTTAACCTTATGGGGAAACAAAATATGTTCGTCTATAACTTTTTAAATAGCCTAGATGGCGAGATAGGGATTTCACATACACATGGAATAGTAGTTGCAGAATATGATAGCATATATAACCCAATTCTTTCTTAAGTCGACTTAGGCGGTTATTGCTTATGACCACAGATATATTTCAATGAGTTTAGTTTTTTAGAGACTGTACACTTTGTTCTTTATTTTTCCTTAGGGATCATACCATTGTAGCAGCTGCCCCGCGGGTTGGGAAGGTAATGGTAAACTTTGTGAGAGCAACGCACCCGAAAGTTGCGAATCCAATAATGTATGCTATGACAAAGCGAAATGCGATTACGTATCAAATACTGTTGTATGCACCTGCCCTCCCGGTATGTACGGTCATGGGTTTGGTGTCGAAGGTTGCAGTGTATCAACGTCAACAAATCTCTGCGCAAATCATACTTGTCAGGTTCGTAAATTTTCTGTCGTCTTTGTGTCAAAGCGAATACCTGGTCTTTCTATTAACTGTATTAACTTATAGAATAACGGTACGTGCGAAGTGCTAGGTGGTGGCACGCGATGCATCTGTACTCACGGATATATGGGTCCCACATGTGATCAACCGGATGCCTGCCACTCTAAACCGTGTCTCAATGGTGGAACTTGCACTCTGACGATAAGCAATAAATACCGATGTGCATGCCCTCGCGGTACAACCGGCCCGGACTGTGAAATCGTTCGAAATATTTGTGGATCGATAATTCGACAACCTTCTGGATCTTTGTCATATCCACCTGATGAGAGCAGTTATTTGCCGAACGAACGATGCGCATGGATAATTCGCACCGATGAAGCACTCATTTTGAATATAACACTTGTTAGGTTTGATTTGGAAGCATCTTCAGACTGTAATAAAGATTGGCTTCAACTCCATGACGGTCGATCGCTGGCTTCTCGGCTAATAGGTCGCTTTTGTGGTAATTCTTTGCCTTTGGGCGGAAATATACAAACTTCACAGAACGCCTTGTTTTTCTGGTTTCGGTCGGATAATGAGACAAATGGAGCCGGATTTAATATTACGTGGAGATCATCGGTTTATATTTGTGGAGGAGTGGTAGATTTAGAAGGAGAGGCAAATGGAATAATACGATCTCCAGGTTATCCGGGAAAAACACCACCAAATCGAGATTGTGAATGGCAACTTAAGGCTCCTTTCGGCCAGAGGCTTTTGTTAAGATTTTTCGATATTAACTTAGGTAGTGCCAGAGACAATAACTGTACCCGAGATACATTAAAGGCAAGTACACTAAAAGCTCAGTTAGTCTAGATTTACTTTCCGTAACTTAACTTAACTTAATATTTTGTCCAACCGGTTATATAGGAACTGTGTTGGCGGTTAGTTAAAACTTAACGTACCGTTAGCAGCTTAAGAACCTGTAGATTTTAGATTCTGAAGTTACGGCGTTACAGAAATTGAGAGCGGTGAGAGAATCAGGCTTGCCAAATTTTCGTTTTT